GCAACCGAGTAATTCTCCCAACACGGAGTAGATTGTTGCAAATACAATGAAGTCCTTTAGAATATGGCAATATCTCTCAAAGACTCAAGCAATGAGGAAAAACTCAAGCAAGAAATGATTTAGCAATCAAAACAATTGCCTTGCTTGGATATAAGGAGGGGATTGAGTAGAATCTCTTTGGATATTCAAAGAATATGTTCTTCAAAGTGTTCTTAGTGCTCTTATGAGGATTATCACGAAAGTAGGTAGTATATAGAAGTTAGGGAGTTGATAGGGATGAAAAGCATTCAAAAAACTAGCCGTTTGGTGGTTGAAACTGTCGCCTTATTTGAATAATTCAAGAACTATTCGAATAGTTTGGATCAATCTCGTGGCTTGAAAAAACCAGTTCCTATTCGAATAAATGGTGATTTATTCGAATAAATCAGGTTGAAAAACCAGGACTTATTCGAATAAATAGTGATTTATTCGAATAAAACAGGTTAGTTTCAGTCACAGGAAACATAACGACTTATTCGAATAAACTAGAGATTATTCGAATAGAAAGACAACTTCCCCACACAAAAGCTGATATAAAATGTGTTTTAAAGGTAGGATGATAAGGGAATGAACCTTAGAGATGCCATACTCTTTAACACATAATCTAAGACCTAAAACACTACCCAACTAAGGAAACAACCTCTTCGGTCTCGTTCCTTCCACTGATGCTCAAGTCCCTTCTTCACGGACGGATATGAACTTGTTGTAGCTTTGATTCTTAGCCTTGATGCACAAAATGATGATGATGTTTTGTCACCCTTTTGTCATTATCAAAACCTAAAAGACAATGGGCAAAGGACATTGCAAAAATACATATTCATGATAGCACATTGTCCAACAACCACCAACCAAGTTCTTTTCAAGGGCCCTTGTGAGCGTGGCTTATATTCACTCTCTGCCTCCAGTTCGTCACCAGTGGTCAATTCAGTCAAAGTTACTCCCTACCAATGGAACTGCCGTCTTGGTCATCCTTCTGTTCAAGTCACTAAGTCTTTGTTATCTCAATTAGGTTTTAAATTTCAGGAACTTGATCATTGTAATTCTTGTTCCGTTGCTAAATCCCATAAACTCCCCTTCCCTGTGTCGCAAACTAAAGCTTAAACCCCTCTTGAACTTGTTCACTCTGATGTATGGGGACCTACTTCTGAACCCTCATTTGGAGGTTATCACTTTTATATTAATTTCATTGATGATTTTACCAAATTTTGTTGGTTGTACCCTCTTAAACATAAGTCTGATGCATTTGATGCTTTTCTCAGTTTTCAATCTATGGTTCAAAATCATTTCAATGCACAAATTAAAATCTTTCGAACTGATAATGGACGGGAATATGTCAATACAAAATTTGGTTTGTTCTTACATAGTTTGGGGGTTATACATCAAAAATCTTGCCGATACACTCCTAACCATGCAAGGATAGGCAGCGGAATATAAAAAACATTAACATCCTAACATGATTATCTTGCCCAGAATCACGTACTAAAACATATAGTAGTAAGAAATTTATACCTTTCTTCGTAAGCGGTAAAAATGAAGAAGTCGTAGGAAGAGCGTTGAAAGTGCAAATGTAACCGTTCAAGCATCCGGTCTCCAACTTTGACACACGAACAACGCCGGAGTCTACCACAATCTTTATGCTAGTAAAGATTATAGTAGTATAAAATATAAAGATTAAAATTGGGATAATAATAATCTTGTATATTTGTATAGAAAATATTTCTAATAATATTAGAAAATATTATAGATATTTTCTATACACAAAATGATATTAATGGAACACAAAATTATTTTCCCTCTCTAGAAAATATGTTGGCCGAAATTTTCTTCACAAAAAAAAAATCATCTATGTGGTTTGTGAAAAACCAATCTTTAAAGTGGACTAATTGTTCACTAAATGACAATTTAAGAAATTTCCCTTATCTTTTCAATCCAAAATCAAACAAAGCTTCTCCCTTTTATCACCTCATGGCCGAAAGATTGATATGAGAAAGTGGGAAGTATTTTCAAAATTCTTCTCCACTAAAATATTCATAGTGTATTTTATTTGACATCAAAAATTAATATAAAATTAATTTTAAATCAAATAAAAATACCAATATCATTTTAAACAAGTATACAAATATACTTAAAATAGTTTATGTCAAAATAATTATTTTCATAATTAAAATGACAAACCAAAATAAAATATTCAACATAATATATATATATATATATATATATATATATATATATATATATATATATATATATATATATATATATATATATATATATATATATATATATATATATATATATATATATATATATATATATATATATATATATATATATATATATATATATATATATATATATATATATATATATATATATATATATATATATATCGCTCTCTCTCTCTACAATTATATATATAAAGCTCTCTCTCTACAATCTCTCTCTAAACTCTCTCTCGTGCATGTCCACTGCGTTAAGGGCGGCGGCCATTGGGTCGTCGTCCACAGCTACGGCTACTACTCCTCCATCGTCTTCTGTCACAACTCCTGCCACCAAAAGCTTCAAGGAAGCTGTTTGCCGTTCTTCACCACAAATTCATACCAAGCAGATTGAAAAATTCAAAGGCTTGCCTTGCATTTCCTTCTCTAATGAAGAAGTCCTTTCGCTGGCTTCCAGGTTTCAATTTGCCCTGGTGGGCAGCTTCTTTGGGAAAAGGCCACCCCTGGAGATCATCAGGAAATGGTTGGAAAAAATAGGCTTTGTGGGTTTTTCTGTTGGGCTCCTCCACCCTGCTCATGTCCTCATCAACTTCTCGTCTGAAAAGGATTACCAAAGATTATTCTTGCGCAAAGATTGGAATGTCCAAGGAGCAACCATGAACATCACCAAATGGACCACTGATTTTGACCCCAATAAGGTAACTCCTATCATTCCTGTCTGGATTTCCATTGCAAACCTGCCCATTCACCTTCATGATCATAGAGCACTGATGGCTATTGCAAATATCTTTGGAAAACCTATTAAACTGGACTCAACTACAGAAAACTTCAGTAGGCCTTCAGTGGCCAGATTCTGTGTTGAAATGAACCTTTCCAGCCTCCCTTAGAATTCCTTCTATGTTAAAAATGGAGATACTCCCTTACTTCTACAAGCAGAATTCGAAAACCTCCCTGATTTCTGTAAAATCTGCAAAGGGATTAACAGACATTCAGCTTCCTGCAAGCACTTCTCTCCTCCAATGGCTAAGATTCCCCTGCCAAACAGCAACCAAACACCCTCTCCCAGTCAACAATCCCATCACAGTGATACTTCCTCTAAACAGCTACAAACCAATCCCTCCAAGCTGCTACCACCCAAAAAGCCCACTGTCCCTACCCCCTCCACTAAACCACAGGCCAACAGGCCTATCAGTACCAACAACAACAACCTGACAAATACCACCTCAACACCTAATTCTGCAGCCCTCCCAGTGCCTACTTCTCATATGCCTTCTTCTGACAACCTGAGCCCAATCCCAGTGTCCACTACTCACACCTTGAGATCTGAACCATCCAACCAAACAATTAATCACAATCAAGCCACCCCTCCCACCTTTTGCCCAGTCTTCCACCCCCATCCAGATCCTAGCACAACCCCCCTCTAATCAGTCCCTTTCTCTCATCCCTAATCCTCTTCCCAACACCCCACCCTCTCTCCCTGTTGATCAGGAACTATTCGAGAACAACTTTCAAGAGGAGATTTTTAATAACCTTTTCCGCATCTTTGCACAAGGTAGAGATGAAACTTTCAAAGGTTTTCTCCATAAGGCAGACCAGCCCAACCCACAACATGAACACTACCACTCAGAAGGAGAAACTTTTCCCAGAAAATGTCCCAAACCTGCCAACAAGGAACCAAACACATCAATCAGAACATTGGATTTAGAAACCAAAAGGAGATCAGCTAGGCTCCTAGAAAAGGCTTCTTCTCACAACTCTTTCTCCCTTCTTCAACAATGAATGTCCTCTTTTGGAATATTAGAGGCATAGCCTCAAATCTCCCAAGATTAAAATTCCTCATCACAGATTTACATATTCACTTTGTGGCTATCATTGAACCTAAATGCACTGGGAATAAACTCACCCAATTTCAGCTTGGACTGGATTTTGACTCTGCTCTTCAACTCTGCAACAATCAAATCTGGGCTTTCTGGAACTCAGACTCCTTGACACTGGAATCCTTTTTCTCATACACTCAGCTGGGCCACCTCACTTTCACAAGCAAAGCCCTGCAAACAAAACTTCATATTTCAACCATTTATGGAAAGCACACAAAGGAAGAAAGAAGGGACTTATGGAACTGCATCTCCACCCTCTCTGGATCTATTAATGAACCATGGCTCCTAGGAGGGGATTTCAATGCTATCAGCTCACTCTCTCATCACAAGGGTAAAAGCACCCCCTGCATGGTTAGTATTATGGAATTTGACACTTGCATTACTCAAAATGGTCTGATTGAGCCCCCCTTTTCTGGCTCACCTTTTACTTGGCATGGGTCTAGAAGCCTGGGAAAGATTTGGAGGAGATTAGACAGACTCTTCCTCAACTCCCACCTGGACAACCTTAACTTCCTAATCTCTTCTGAACACTTAGCCAAAGGTGGCTCTGATCACTCCCCAATCCTCCTCAAAATTACTAATGGTAATTTTAAGGGTCCTTTTCCCTTTAAATTCCTAAACTGTTGGACTGCCAACCCCTCTTTCCTCACTCTTATTAAAGACAATTGGGAACCCTACACGGGAGGGGGAATGAGAGGTTTAATGGACAAGCTGGTGAATTTGAGGAAAGTCATTCAAGCCTAGAACAAAAATACCTTTGGGAACATCCTCAAGAACAGAACTAAGCAGGAGGATAAACTCAAACTAGCTGAAGAAGCCTACAATGACAACCCAACTCATGACAACAACACCAGGATGCAACAAGCCAGATCAGATCTTAATAAATGCCTTGCAATAGAATATTCCTACTGGAAGCAAAAATCCAATCTGAAATGGGTAAAGGAGGGGGACCTAAACACCAAGTTTTTCCAAGCCTTTGTCAAAAACAAAAGAAACATTCAAAGGATTCAAAAAATCAGGAACACTGATAACAATTGGCTTACTGAGTGGGATGACATTGCTTCAGAGGCCACCTCTTTTTTCAATACCCTCTTCACACATGAGGGAACTGACCTATACCCAGAAATCCTGGACAATATTCCCCTCACCCTGAACCCTAATGACAACCTCTCCCTTTGCAGCCTCCCCACCATGGAAGAGGTTAAAACTGCAATCTGGGACCTCTGCCCAGACAGCTCTCCAGGACCTGATGGTTTCACTGGCCATTTTTTCAGGGTAACCTGGGATACCATCAAAGAAGATTTGTGGAAAGCTTGCCAAGAGTTTTTCCTAGGCATTCCCCCTCCCAAAAGCCTCACTCAATCCACCATCATCCTTATTCCCAAAACTGAACACCCCTCAAAATTCTCTGACTACAGACCCATTTGCCTCTCCAATTTCATTGCCAAAACCATTTCTAAGATCTTGGCTACAAGACTGTCCCCTCTCCTACCCAAAATCATCAGCCCTGAACAGGCTGGCTTCATGAAAGACACTCTTATTCAAGATCAGATCCTCATTGCACAAGAAATGTTCCATGGCCTTGCTAATAAATGCAGGGGGGGAAATCTGGCCATCAAGCTGGACATGTCTAAAGCTTTTGACCGAGTGTCCTGGGACTATCTACTTGAAGTCTTGAGGAGATTTGGATTCTCAAACCAAACCACACACCTTATTCACAGCCTCTTGGCCACTACCTCTCTCTCTATCAACATCAATGGCAAGAATACCAAACCTTTTCAGACTTCCAGGGGGTTAAAACAAGGAGATCCCCTATCTCCTTTTCTCTTCATCATTGCCTCAGAAGGTTTCAGTAGAACTCTGAACAACTTTGTCCTCACCAAGAAAATTGCAGGCTACAACTTGGGAAGAAACTACCATCCTATTTCCCACCTTGCTTTTGCAGATGATCTTATTCTTTTCACCAATGGCTCTGGTCCTAATCTTAAACAAGTTCACAGCTTTTTGAGGAACTATGAAAGGTGCTCAGGTCAAAAGGTCAATATGGATAAAAGCAACTTTTTCACCCCCCCTAAAACTCCCAACCACAGAATAAACTACATGTGCAGCACCCTTGGAATGAACCATGGTACTCTACCCTGCAAATATTTGGGTGTTCAAATATTTAGAGGGATTAACAGAGCTCACTACTGCCAAACACTCATGGATCAATTTAACAATAAATTGAAGGGCTGGCATGGCAGACTCCTCAGCCACAGTGGCAGACTTATCCTCCTCAAACCCAAACCTAAACTCCATTCCCCTTCACACCCTAGCAGTCAATAAACTCCCTAAATCTATCATCCATCTGCTTCACAACAAGATGTGCACCTTCCTCTGGGGTCACACAGAAGGGAAAGATAGCTATCATTGGGCATCTTGGGATAGAATCTGCTTGACAGAAGACAAGGGAGGTCTAGGAGTCAGATCCTTGGATGCTATCCAAGAGGCCTTCACCCTCAAACTTTGGTGGAACTATCATGCTAATAGCTCCACTTGGAGCCATTTTATGAGAGAGAGATATCCCAGAAACAACAACTTCACCCCAAAAATTACTGACTCTACCATATGGAAAAGAATTTGCTCTATTCATGAAAAAGCCACTAACATTTTTTTTTGCAGGAGAAGAAGACCAAGAAGCTTTTTTCAGAAATAGGCAAATTACTTTCAAAGAAGCTTACCTTGCAATCCAACCTGAGGAAGAGGAAGAGGATGTCGAACCTCTCCAACATATGCAAATCATCTGGAACATGAAGCAAATTCCAAAAATCTCCTTCTTCCAGTGGCGCCTTCACTAGAAACTGCTACCCTTCCCTGCACATTTGAGGAAATTTGGAATCACTTCATTGCCTTCCATATGCCATCTCTGCAAAAGGGATAGTGACACAGACTATCACACTCTCTTTCAATGCCCCTACGCTAAACCCATTTGGAGCTACTTCGAATGGATTTTCAAAATACCGTGGCAAGCAACACACGGTGTGAGAGCCTACCTCCACAAATGGTGGACAGAATACCATAACCAAACTCTAGAAGGATGGCTCAAAGGTATCATACCTGGAATCATCTCCCACCAAATTTGGAAGGAAAGAAACCGGCGCATCCATGAAAACATCAGCAAAGACTCG